AGGGTTTAGGGTTTAGGCTGTAAGCCCTGACCACAGCTTAGGGTGTTGGAGCTCAGCGAGTTTTTCCGAAGAACGCAGTTCGAAGGTTTAGGGGGTTCGGGTCTAAGTGGGTGATGGGTTTCCGGGCCGCTCTAGATCATGTCCTAAGCTCTTCTCCTTACAAACCCAAGTCGAAGACCAAAACCGTTAATCCCCACGCTCATGATCGCCGCCAACCCCTAAAACCCTAAACCCTCAACCCTAAGCCCTCGAAAAACCCCACATCTCAGACCTTAGACCTCCAAAAGCCCTGTGCTCCCAGGCATCTCAGCTAATCCTGAGACTCTAAGCACTCATACTTCAATCCCTTTTGGGCGCAAAGTTTTAGGATTTAGGGTTTAGGTTTTAGGGTTTAGGGTTTAGGGTTTGTTGGGCTATTTTGAGCCTTAGGGTAGCGTTAAACACAAAAGCGAGGCTCTCGCGGATTGACTCTCTGGAGAATTGCACGCAGCTCGAGGCTGTTGCGTCGTGGGCGGCAGGGTTTTAGGGCTTACCGTTTCTATTGCGTAGAGGGTGAGCCGGGTCTAGGTCTAGGTACATTGGGTTTGACAGAGGTTCCTTTGCTTTGGGATTTAGCTGGAGCCGGCCGCATCAGAGACAGCTTTCTATGTCCAGCTTTGTACGTCGGGGAAGTGATTGCATGATGGTATGCTTGCCTGCAAGATAGTTGGGACATTGCTTCTGTATCGTCGGCCCTATATCTTCACAGCATCTGGCATTCAGCCCTGGTCCGCTTCCGTTCCGACACTCCGTATTTTTGGAAGTTGTCTGCATCGAGTTCTTGTTTGTTTGGAGTTTAAGTCAGTTTAAGTGTTTTAAACCATAACTAACCCCTGCAACAGTCTCCGACAGAAAGCCATATCCTCGAAAACCAAATCCCAAAACCCCCCTTACCCGCGGAAAAACAACAGAAAAAACTATAATATTCGCTAAACTCCAGGCCTCAGGCCCTACCCTCAATATCCAAACTCCCCCAAGACCCTTAACCCACGAAATCCCTACACCACAAAGCCCAAAACAGCAAGACGAATCCAGGAGCTGAGCGTCCCGCACCAGCACCCTGGAGGTGAAGAAAGGCCTTTGCAGGTGCCCTTGCGGTTTGTCATGGAAAAATTGGATAAAAATCCAAACAGGCTTCACGACTTTGCTGCCCAAGCGCAAACATGTTCCTAAGATTTGTAATCTGCAGCCACCTCAGGTTGGTCCTAGTATTTGCCTGGTCCTTATTTCCGAACAGTAAGATGACCGTAGTATTCTCAGTAGTGTCGGCATCATGGAAGCAGCAAAAATGTCAGTATTGTTTTAGCGAGCCTTTGTAGGTGCTGTTGTTACTTGTGTAGCTCTTGCTTGAGATATGAGGCTAAGCATTGCTACGATTACGAGTGCTGTTGCACCTTCGTTCTAATTACGAAGTGCTGGAGGAGCGTTGCTCAGGAGTGTCGATGTCATTCGCCTAGTAGCTTTGGACTATGTTTTGTTCTAGCTGGTGCTAACAAAGTACGAGTAGCCTGATGAAGACGATGGCGTGATGATTTCGACGATCCTGACCTTGATGGTGATGATGGTGATGACGACGATGGTGATGACGATCGTGATGATGATGTCGACACGGTCATCATAGTTCTGGGTTGTATATCATTCAGGTCGGTCCTTTTTTGGCTTCACATGTTGTTTAATTGGGCCTGGGATCAGAGTCATAACCAAAATCCTGAACATCACCAGGATTTGGAAGGTCACGGAGCATGCTGGCATGCCAACTGGCAAGCCTTAAACGTAACCATCACCCTCCACCCCACTACAGACTTCTGCAACAACTCTGCAGTGGGCAAGTATACATCATAGAATTCCCAATCCTGACTGGGAGCCTTTTCGTCTCAACAGTCCCCTTCAGGGTTTAGAGGTTTAAGGTTTAGGTTTTTGGCTTTACGAGTTGAGGGCGCAGCATATTGGGGAGTAGGAAAAGTTCAGGAGTTCTAGCTAAAGAAAAGTTACAGGCAGAGGAGCTTAAACACTTCGTTAGGTTCTTGCCCTGGTTTTCCATTCCCTGTACAATACCATATCGGTTTAGGGTTTAGGGTTTAGGGTTTAGGGACAATACCACAGACTTAAACCCCCCACCGAGAATTCCACAAGGGTTCCTAGTACACTTTAAGAGATACTCGGTGCTAGCTCCGCAAGCCGTTAGGACTTATTAGGATCCATATTCTTGACAAGAACGTGTAGGTGTGGTGTAGGAGCTAGACCCCAAACCCATGACCCTAAACTGCCCGTTTAAACTCTGAATCCTTAGCCGCATAACCCTAAGCCTTTAGGCCCAAGCTTCTGAAGAGCAACAACTGTAAACCTGAAACCTCAGACTCTTGACTTATTCATTCCCAAAGCCCTAAATCCCTAAACCCCTGAAGCCCTAAACCGAAGCTCATCTAAACCCTAAACCCCACAGTTCCCTAAACCTGCCTGCCCAACCGGCTTGTCGGGATGCTTTCTGCAGGCCCTTAAAAAAATCAAAAGCTCCCTACAGCCTGACCGGAAACCTCGCAGCAGTTTCCTGCCGTGCCAGCCCTAAACCTTAACCCCTAAACCCTAAATCCTAAACCCTAAACCCTAAACCTGAACCCTGAACCCTAAACCCTAAACCCTAAACCTTAAACCCTAAACACTAAACCCTAAACCTGAACCCGAATGCCGCGCCAGTTCTGCCCCGACTCTTTGGCGGCCATTGCACCGAGACTGAACCTGCTCAATGCCGCAGGGAATCACCTGCAGGACCCCAGCTTTGAGGGTTTAAAGGGCGCAGTAATAAGGTAACTAAATTTCAGAATAAGATAATATAGGGTTTAGGGTTTAGGGTTTAGGGTTTAGGTTTGGGGGAAGGGCGCAGTAATAAGGTAATCCAGGGGCCTAACTAATTTCAATAGGGCTTAGGGGGGTATATTATGCTATATTCATAATAAGATAATATAGGGGCCTTAGGCAACAACCTATACTATTTTTTGGGGGGTTCCGTTTTACAAACATAGTATAACGGACCCCAAGACCTTATTCTAATTTTTGAGGCCCTATTTTACTCGGGCTGTGTGCGTTCATACCTGGGAGAGGATCTGATGTTGATGTACTTGGACCCTTAGGGTAGGGTTTGGAGGTTTGGGATTGAGGTTTTGGAGTTTTAGAGGTTAGATTTGAGGTGTAGTTGTTGAGGGTTTAGGTTGAACGGTTTAGGATTGCGCTTGTTTTGTCTTATGTCCCCTAAACCCTGACCCCTAAACCCGAAATCCCTAAATCCCTTCAGCATTGTAGGCTTTAGAAGTAGGGGATTCAATTCAGGGGTTTGCCGGGTGCTCGAACCGAATCGGAGCAATACGAGGGCCTTAATCATTAGAACAGGCTTTCCGGGCATTTTATACTTTAACCCTACCTAAGGATGACATTTGTATTTAAGTAGGTCCCCATCTTATGCAAGTGCAATGGCCCACTGCCCCTTTCATGCCGTTTGTGACATGGGTTGGTTCTGTTGGGGCATTCTTTCCCTAGTGCCTTAGAGCGCGCACCCTGAAGCAACCGACGAAATCCTAACCTCAAGCTCGATACCTCTGCCTCCAAGATACGGCTTGTGGTAGAAGGTTCCTCTTGCGTTTCTGATCTTTTCTTCGGATGGCAGATTTGTTGAGGTTCTATATCTGTACAGTGTTCAAGATGGGGCTTAAGGTTTAGTGTTTCGGATTTAAACCACATATTGAACCCTAAACCCTAAACCTTAAACCCTAAACTCTAAACCCTAAACCTTAAACCTTAAACCCTAAACCCTAAACCGTAGATGTTTTGGGTTGCAAGAAGATTAACGAACGCTCAGCGTCCGGGGTCGTAGTGAGCAAGAAGGGCTTGACGGCCCCGAGCGCAGGTAGCAGCTGCTTAGTAGTAGTAGTAGTAGTAGTAGTAGTAGTAGTAGAGTAATCTAGGGGCCTAAATCATTGCCTATACTATTTCTGGCGTTCCTTATTATTATAATTATAGTCGTAGAGTAATGTAGGGGCCTTAATAATTCGAACAGGGCTTTGGGGGCTCCTTATTAGAATTGTAGTAGTATATAATTATATACCCCCCCAAACCCTATTCTAATTCTTAAGGCTTAAGGCCCTACATTAGAGTATTCGTCCTGGTAGGCCTCGTCTTCGTTGGAGGTGCTGGTAATGGTGGCGGTGATACTGGTTCCGCTGCTACTGGTTTGAACCACAAACCGTGATAGGAACGATGGATGTGGCCATGCGAGACTCTAGCATTAAGTGCGGTGCATAATGTCATTCTTTTACTTTCCCTCGCAAGTAAAAGTACAGCATACTCCCAGTTCTGTTCGAACGCATTCTGTTACTATACTAAAGCCGTACAAACCTACCTACTTTGCCCTTAACCCTAGAAAAAGAGCCCCAAATCAGGAGGTGGAGCAGCTTTCCATCTTGCGGTCTCTTACCAGCTTAGACCTTTCAGAGAACAAGATCGCCCAGGCCGGAGCGGGGAGCAGAATGTTCGGTTTCGGGCTGAGGTTACAGGGCGATCAGAGCTTGATGGAAGATTGTGGGAGTTGCTTGGGTAAGGGGTCGCAGTGGCCGTGGTAGCAGCAGTAATTCAGTATGTTTACTTGGCAAACTTTCCGCAGCCCTGAAGGTGCAGTGTTTGCCGGTTCTTGGCGTGAGGATTTTTTGATTTTTTGGCTCTATAGGTTCTGAGTCTGCGAACCTAGGCCACAACCCTCTGGCTTGAGACGTTGAGGTGGACTTAGGGTTTAGGGTTCAGGGTTTCGGGTTTAGAGTTCAGGATTTAGGGTTTAGGGGTTTAGCTTCTTGATTGTAACTTTAGGATTTTGGGGGTTTCGGGTGACTCCGTTGCAGCAGCATCCGAAGCTCCCACGATCTTCGAAGGGTTGGGACCTTTAGACAGGTTAATAAAGAAACCCTCAAAAATTACCTAAACTATTTTGGGGGTTCCCTACTATAGTTGTAGTATAATATACCCCAAAACCCTATTCTAATTATTGAGGCTCCTACATCAGTTCAGGTTGAGCATCAAAACCCTTTAGACCCTACATCCGAGAAGCCCTCAAAGCCTAAACGCTAAAAAATCCCTAAAGCCTAAACCCTCAACCTCAAAAAGTCAAATCAGAGAACCTAAGCACAAAACACAAAATCAGACCTGTTCGAAACTTGGGAATTATGAAGCCTGTTTAAACTGCTCCCGAAAGCCAAAATCACGGGAAAAAACCCAGAGTTCAAGAGCCCTGAACACCAAAGCCTAGGTTTGGGCCGCAGGCCCCTACCTTAAGAACCCAAAACCTACTTGTTTGTAGGGTCACTATAAATCCAATACTAGGATTTATAATAAGAACCTGCAAAAAAGTGGGTTTTGGGTTCTTAAGATACACCCTAACCCAAAACTCAGAAGCCCTAAACCTAAGCTCTGAACCTCAAACTGCCACGACGACGAGGTCGGCCATCTCCGCCCAGTCCTCACAGGACGGTGCTCACTTTGGGCGTAGAGCTTAGGGTTTAGGGTTTAGTTTAGGGTTGGGGCCCCTAAACCCTAAACCCTAAGCCCCCTGAGCCCTAAACCCTAAGCCCTAAGCCCCCTGAGCCCTAAACCCTAAACCCTAAGCCCTACACCGTAAGAGTTTAGACCCTGTACATCCCTGCACCACGAAGTTGTAGACTGCGAGCCCTTACTTCCGAAGAGCTGGCATTTTGGCGTCGCTTTGTGGTTTGTTCTTTGGATACGTGTTCCGACCCTACAGTTCACCATCAACCCTTGCAAAGCCGATGGGGTTTAGGGTCTAGGGTTAGTCTAGGAGATTTTCAGGTGGGTAGTTGCCGTTATAGGAGCCTGATAGAAGGTCTATATGCCTTATAGAAGCCTTTTAGAAGCCCTATATACCCCAAACTCCCCACCTGTAGTTTCCTTCAAGTTAGGGTTTAGGGTTTAGAGTTTAGGGCGCCAGGTGGTTGAGGTTCACGACGGGTTCTCATGGAGCTGCGGCATCTGCGAGCCTTTTGTGTGCCTGTGAGGTCCGAGGCATAGAGTTGTGGTGGTTTAGGGTTAGGGTTCCTTTAAGGGATCTTTTAGGGTTCCGTTAAGGGTTCCTTTAAAGGTTCCAAGGCTCAAGCATACTGATAGTAACTGCACGGATCTGACAAACTTGTGAGTTTTGTCTGCTTTGGTTTATGCGGTCTTTCATTTTTGCTGGCTACGCCCTAAGGTTAGCGAAGGTGAGGGCGCACCATGATTAAGAGCTTCTCAACACAAACATTTCAAGCCACCGATCACGGGATGGTCATGATTACGGGCGGTGGGTTCTATGAGGTTTAGTGTCTAGGGCCACGGTAATTATAAAGTTTAAGGTCCGTAAGAGACAAGCCCAAAATTAGTCCCAACTTCGAAGCCCTAAACCGAGCTGCCAGGAGATGCGCTTCGACGATTGAATCTCAGTGGGTGCGCCACAGCACATATGTATATTACCCTACTCTAGATCGGAATTTCGCAGGATTTGACAGTGATTTATAGAGTTTCTGAATTCTGTGTTGATGTTGGCTGCTATAGGGTCTTAGGGGCTTCGCTTGCAAAGATGGCTGCGTCTGAAGCTTCCAGGGGACCCGAAATCCTCGCTGTGATGAGTTCATGCCTGTCAGAAGCCACAGCTCCATCGAAACTCAGAACCCCAAAGCCTTAAACCCTGAAGACCAGGCCCTACGCTAAATCCTGAAAACCTACATAAACCCCTACACCCTAAACCCAAAACCCTAAACCCAAACCCTAAGCCCAGAGCCACCCTTTCCGGGATACTTACAACAAAGGCTCCACACAACCGCAGACCCGTCAATGCTTTCCGGTTCGGGGTGTGGGTTTAGGGTTTAGGGGTTTAGGGTTTAGGGTTTAGGGTTTGGGTTTAGGGTTTTAGGGTTTAGGGTTTGGCGTTTGGAGTTTAGGGTTTTAGGGTTTAGGGTTTAGGGTTGCTTTCCGGTTCGGGGTGTGGTCTGAGAGTGTGGCTCATGGGTGATAATGTAGGGCCGTAATAATTAGAATAGGGTTTTGGGGTGCAGTATACTGTAAATAGAATAAGGAACCCCCCAGAATAATATAGGTAATTATCTAGGTCCCCATATTATAGAGATTGGGGTTTCGAGGTTCTGAAGTTTATAATAGGGTTCGCATAAGCTTTGGGATTAGAGTTACTTCCTAGCTAGGATACCCGAGTCTATGGAAGTGTGCATCGGCAGCGAGCTTTTGTACACAGGCAGCACTTTACCGCACTGACCCAACATCCCCCCTAACCACCTAAAGCCTAGAAGCCTTAAGCCCTAAACCCTTAGCCTTGAACCCTACACCCTAACCCTAACCCTAAGCCCTAAACTAAGCCTTAAACCCTACACCCAAACCTCTAAACCCTAAGCCTTAAACCCTACACCCTAACCCCTAAACCCTAAGCTCACCTAAACCGTTTGGAGCCTCAAATCCTTCGTCAGTAGGGGGCCCCAAGCAGATAGTGCAACAACTGCATCAATTAATCCTGAGCAACTAAGCTCAGGGTTTAGGGTCTAGAGTTCAGGCTTTAGGGTTCAGGGTTCAGGGTTTAGGGTTTAGGGTTCCTCCGGATGCAGGAACCCCTTTGCCTCTGCTGAGCGCCGCTATCGTACGGCCGCTGGTACCTCAGGGCTTCGGCTGTAGGGCTTCCCACAGTGGTCTCGATAATGTAGGGGCCTCAATAATCCCCCAACGCTATTTTGAGGGCTCCTTAATATAATTTTAGTATACTGGGCCCCAAAACCCTATTCTAATTATTAAGGCCACTATATTAGTTAGTAATGGAGTTTCTTTCGTTCCTTAACATGTTAATAGTATAAGCCCCCGAAGCCCTCGTTCCTTTGACTCTCACGGACAAGTGTAACGGACTCGCGTACAGCAGTCTGCGCCAAGAGCCACAAAAATCCCACTCTTCCGAAACCCTCGACCTTTTGCTACTCCAGCCATGAAGCTCGGCCCGCAGTCTGCACTGCTCCATTTGCGGTATGGTTCTGTAGAGGTAGCTGTAGTATAGACCCCAAATAGTTCTGGGTACGTGTTGTCTTAAGCCCCAGATCCGAATCCGGGAACATGTGCAGCTGCATGCCGAGGTCGTTCTTTGCAGCAACACTGTCGAGGACCAAGGGGTTCAGGGCTTATAGGGTTTAGGGATTGGGATTTAGGGTTTAGGGTGTGCGTCTGAGCGTTTTGCAGTCCAACACTCAAGGTTCTAGTTAGAGGCGCAGCTTTTGCTGCGCTGCTGCTGCTCCCACCCACCACCACCGCCGCCACCACCACCACCACCACCACCACCACCACCACCACCACCACCACCACCACCACCAGCACCACCACCTTCACCACCACCACTACCACGAGCACCATGACCTAAACCCTAAACCCCAAACCCTAAACTTCAAACCCTAAACCCCAAACCGTAAACTCCAAACCCTAAACCCTAAACTTTTCCTCCTCCTCCTCCTCCTGCTCATCCTGCAGGAACGGATCTTGAAACGAGCAGTGTTGTGGAAGTATAGCAGAGTCTAGTCTAACATAGTAGTATACGGTTCAATGTAGTATAACCTTATACAGTGCACTATGGTAGGACAGGTGCAGTCTAATCTCATCTAGTCTATCACGAACAAATCGTCTAACCGAAGACAGTGTAATATGTTATGATCTAGTCTAGTCGAACGTAGTGTAGCAGGGTATAAACGAATAAGTCAGTGTATGCTATCGTATTCGAGGCCCAAGGGCCGGTTTAAGGTTTCGGGTTCAGGGAAAGTGCCAAACCGAAAAATGCCGCTAGACCCTAAACCCTAATCCAGCATGATTCATCTGAACAACAAGGCATCGCTCTCTGACAAAATTGCAGCACAAGAGTTTCCTGAATCCTGAAGAACAGGGGCTTTCGGAGTTTGGAGTTTGCATTTGTTCGGGGCTTGGTCGGCCTCTAGGCTCAGGTTTTGAGCAGGGTTTGGCATGTATAGAGTGCGGGAAATTTATTAAGCAAGGCATCCTTTTGGGTAGCGAGAGGTCAACAATTGTTTGCACTGTGGTAATTTTGTGGTTCAGGTTATCGGGGTGCAGGTTTGAACGAACTCCCCGACAAGCCTATACAGCCTCGGCAGAAGTCCGAGGAGGACGTGCCGGTCTTGAAAAAACACTTCCAAAGCGTTGTACACCTTTGGTCCCTAACGGCGAAGGCCCAAGGCTCTTACCCTTAAGCCCACAGTCACGAGCAAGCCCCAGAAGACAGTCTGATTACAACCAGAATGCCCCAAACCCGAGACCCTAAGCCCTAAACCCCAGACGCTAAACCCTCGACCCTATAAACCCTAAACCCTAATTCTTGAGCCGACAGGAGATTGATGGCAAGGAAATCCTGCCGCAGGCATGGTGCTCAGGGGCGTTCCCGAGCGGAATAGACCCTAAACCCTAAAACCCAAAGATTCCAACATCCTAAAACCCCAAACCTTAATCCCTAAACCCTAACCCCGAAATCGTTAAATGCCTAAAACGCCAAGTCCTTTCTACGACCACAGCTTGACCTCAATACAGGGCGCCCCTTTGGCTTTGAATCCGAAGACCACTGGCCCCCAAAACCCAAAGCTTACATGGAGGTTCATGGGACTTAGTATAAGTATAAGCACAGGTTACCTTAATTATAACCCTACTTACTAAGTCCCATGATCCTTTAAGTAGTCGATTTCATCAGCTGTAGGTCGCCCAACGGTTCAGGGTTTCAGGCTTCCGGGTTTGGGGATAGGGTTTGTCTACCAAGGATGCCTAGGGCAGTATTCGCTTATTTGCTGCTTGGCTAGGAAGAGGGCTCTGACCCTGAAAGATTGGAGACTGTTTCGGATGGCAAAAATCGTGTTCAGATTCGCAGACTGAGCAGACCTGACATGGACCATAGCCATGGCATTTGCACGCAACAGATGCGGATCTTATGCCCCATAAACCCTAAAACCCTAGGCCATCAAGGCCCTAAACCCGAGGCCATCAAGGCCCTAAGCCCGTCACCATGGTAACTGAATCGGGTCCACCTCCTCGAGCCTGAGCCGGGGTGAACATTTATGGGTTTAAGGTTTAGGGTTAGAGCTTCTAAGAGGACTGATGATATAGAAGCTGATAGAGGCCAATAATTTCGGTAGTGTTTGAGAGATGTTCACGTTACATTTGCAGTATGATATATCCCAGACCCTAATTCTAATTATGGGCAACCTCTGCCCAGTCGATAAACTTCTAAACGCCCGAACTCCCGAATACCGAAACACTTGCATAAAGAGCGCGTCTCTTCTGTTGGGCCAGAAAGATGTCCACAAGCCTACCCAAATAGATATACTTTGGCCTTAAAGTAGTCCCGATATAAGTACCTTGGGGCCAATGTATATACTATTTGGGTACATGTGTGCACCCTGAACCCTAAACCCTGAACCCTTAACCCTGAACCCTAAGCCCTGCTCCCTAAACCCTAAACCCTAAACCCTAAACCCTAAGGAAAGGGACTTCGTCCGACGGCTGGATGCACAGAAGCGGAAGCTGAGCGCATGCACCTGAGAGGCTTTCATCCGGAAGGTTCTGAGTTGAGGGTGTTAGGGCTTTAGGGTTTTTAGGGTTTAGGGGTTTAGGGTTTAGGGGTTTAGGGGTTTAGGGTTTAGGGGTTTGAGGTGTAGGGTTTAGGGCTTTAGGGGTTTAGGGTTTAGGGGTTTAGGGGTTTGGGGTTTGGGGTTTAGGGTTTAGGTCTTTAGGGCTTTAGGGGTTTAGGGCTTTAGGGGTTTAGGGGTTTGGAGTTTAGGGTTTAGGGCTTTAGGGGTTAAGGGTTTAGGGCTTTAGGGGTTTAGGGTTCAGGGTTTTAGGGGTTTTAGGGGTTTAGGGTTTAGGGTGTGGGTTTGGCACACTCATGCAGATTTTGTTCACCATTGCTTGCATGCCCTGTATCCTTAACCTCAAAAGGCCAAACAACCCTTATCCCTAAGCTTATAGGACTATCTGAATTACTTGAGCAAGGCTTGATGCTGCGTGTTTGTTGAGCCTCGAGTCGGGAATGCCCGGTATGTCAACATCCAGATTAGTTTGCCCTAAACCCTGGAGCCCTGAAGCCCTTAAACCCAAAACTCCTGACTGAGCCCCAAAAACCGCAAACTTAGCGCCCCAATTAGCAATCCTAATCCTTAAAGCTCGTAGGGCCCGTAGGCCCTATAGGTCCCTAAACTTAAACCCCGTAAGCCCCAAACCCGAAACCCTAAGAAGACAGGCTTGTTTGATAATGTAGGGGCCTTAATAATAATTAGACTAGGGTTTTGGGGCATACCATATATACTATGACTATAATTATAGTAAGAACCCCCCCCAAAAAAAACTCTTATTCTCATTATTAAGGCCCCTAAAACCCTAAACCAAAAACCCTAAACCCTAAACCCTAAAACCTAAACCCTAAACCCTACAATACACCGAGGCCCAACGACAGCGCCACCTGAATCGGGTGACGTCCGACGGCCGCCCAAGACCACCCAACATGTCGGACAAGGCTAGGGCAGGGTTTAGGGTTTAGGGTTTAGGGTCTAGGGTTTAGGGTCTAGGGCAGGGCTTGAAATAGGGGCTAAGGACTTTGGTTTGGGCTTGAGGGTACCAAAACCCCCAAAAAGTAGATGAAATAATGGCGCAACACCTATAGAAGGCTATTTTTCTACATATCAAACCCTAAGCCCTACACCCTAAACCCTAAATATAGAAGGCTATTATTCTACATACTTTGGGTGCCCGGGTGCTGCCGAGACAGGTCCTGTGAGCCCCATGCCTAAGTTCAAACGGCACTGCCCTTTTAGGTTTAGGGCCTTCGGGTTTAGGGTTTAAGATTTAGGGTTTAGGATTTAGGGTCTAGGATTTAGGGTCTAGGGTTTAGGGTTTAGGGTCTAGGATTTAGGCCGGATTCAGGGTTGAGGGCATCTGCCGAATTCAAAGAACGCTCGCTGCTTCGTTTCCCTGGAGCCATGCCATGCCTTTGGGGCTGTGCATGTCTGGCGCAGTTGGTTTGCTTTGTGGAAGGTCTTGGGTTTAGGGTTTAGGGTGTAGGGTTCAGGGGTATAGGGTTTAGGGTATAGCGTTTAGGGTTCAGGGTTTAGGGTTTAGGGTTTAGGGTTTAGGGTTTAGGGTTCAGGGTTTAGGGTTTAGGGTTTAGGCTTAGGGTTTAGGGTTCACTATCATGCGCGCGCAAAGTCTGCCACGACAAGGCCTGCTAAGTCTGCACTGACAGAGCTTGAACTCTCGCAGGTGCAGTTAAGGGTTTGGCGATGATATGATGCTGCATCCGGGACGAAGCGCTGTCCACGGTTGCTACAAGCTTGTTATGGAAAAACCCTAATACCCAAGCCCTAGAACCCTCAACTCCAAACCCTCATACCCTAAACCCGAAAAGGTTCCACATGTTTCAATGCAGAGCGCTTGTCTCTCTGTATCGAAACCCGAGTACTTTCTGCAGCTTCTTTCATGGCAGATTGCTGGGAGTCTGCTTGCTGACATCATTCCCGTAGGGATCCTAATTGTTAGCTATACTATACCCATAGACCCCAATAGTAGTTCCTTTTTGGGGATTACCTTATAGGATTCTAAATATGAACCCCCAAAAGGAACTACTATGGGGCCTATGAGTACCCCCGAAACTCAATCTAATAAGGCCATTATATTGAATTCGTGTTCCGGCAATGAGCGAAACAAGAATGAATTGTGTAAGTGTTCGGGGAGCAGTCGGCACCACGTGTCGGGGTCACGGGTCGGGCACCTGACATGCTTCCTTCTGCAACGGTTACTGCAACGCGCCTACGCCTAAACCCTAAACCCTAAACCCTAAACCCTAATTACACCCCAAATGATACTTAAAGCTGGCTGCTCTTCCGGTCGGAGAAGGAGTCTCCATTCCGGGTAGAGTTTAGGGGTTAGGGTTTTAGGGTTCCTTTAAGGGTTCTATAAGGGCTACTATAAGGGTTTAGGGTTTATGGGCCTTGATATTTAGAACAGGGTATTGGGGATTAGATCCACATCCTACTGACTGCGTTTCAGGTGTCTGAGACATTCGGCTAAACCGCTGCTGGCTTGCGATGCATGTCAACGCTGCTTTGTGGCTCCTATGATTCCAGGCCATGCAGATCCTCTAGACACATTTAGGGTTTAGGGTTTAGGGTTTACTTGGACCCTTAAGAACCTCTCTTTTAGGGTTCCTTACTATGACTTCCTTATATAGGTCCTTGAAAAGGTAGGTTCTTTGGGGTCTAGGTAGGGCCAGGGTTACAGATGGATTAGTTGATATGTTTGGACTGTTCGTCTCCCACTGCCATGGTCACCATCGTCATTTAGGGTTTAGGGTTTAGGGTTTAGGGTTTAGGATCACGATCAGCATTGCCCTTGTTACCTGTTTAGGGTTTAGGGTTTACCTCGCTTTCGCTCCTTTGGGAGAACGCCCAGCCACAGACTATGTTGTTGCTATAATCTGGCACTGCCAAGTATCCGGAAGAACTTGGCCGACAGCCCAAAGCAGCATAAGTGTCGTGTTTCTCTTTGTTACGGCTGTTTTCCCGACCATGAGCTCAAAGCCGATATAGATCTCCATGGTTCTCGGCAAAAACAGGCAATCTGTCTTCCGGGTTTAGGGTCCAGTGATCTTCTGCAGAGCAGAGTCGCAGAAATGGCCAGTCTCGTTGCGCGGCCGGCATTCATTCTGGTCCTTGGCCTGTCACTGACCTCGGGCTTTACGGACCTCATCACACTGGTGCGCTTCAAGCAGTGCTTCGTCTGCCCTTAGTTGGGCATTTCAGAAAACTAGGGTACCTCATTTTGGGGTTCTTATCATAAGGATCCTGCTACTTGGGGTTCTATATCAGGGTACCCTAATTTTCGGAAACCCCCAGTTGGCTTTCAACAGTCGTCGCAGCCTACTTAATCAATTCCCCTTATCGTCCGTCTTGTACTTATATGCCTCCCCTAACCTGCTGAAATTATTAAGGCTGCTTGGCGGTTTAGGGTTTAGGGCTGAGAGTTAACCCTATAGCCCTATACCTTAAACCCTAAACAGGGGTGGTTGATTGTTGGTTCAGAGTCAGTGGAGGATCCCGGATCTGAGAGATTCCTCTCGCTGTGTTAGCGTGAACTTTGCATACCCGAAACCCTAAACCAAAACACGAAGCCTCGTTCCAGCCTGGAACGGCACCATTGGGCCCGGGCTTATCAGGGTGGATCTTGCGGCAATGTATGAGACGCTTCCGCTGAGACATGCATAAAAGAGAAACCCTAAACCCTAAACCCTAAACCCTAAACCCTAAACCCTAAACCCTAGACCCAAGATCTCCAAAAGTCCAACTCCCACCCAAAATCCCGAAGACCCTTCCCCTCCGGCCGAGACTACTGAAAAGCGAACCTCACTTCCCAATACCCTCTAACCTGAATGCGCCACCTCCTCGCAGAACCTGCAGCGAGCTATAATCGAAGCCCCCCCCCCCCACCCCGAAAGCCTAAACCCTAAACCCTAAACCCTAATAGACCCTTACACTCCAACAGTCCGAGGTTCGCCGGCCTACAGACTGGCAACATGATGTTCATTGGACAGAACTTGTTCCCTGGCTGCCCTTCTTAGGCCCTTCGGGGTTTAGGGCCTCGGGTTCTGGAGGCACTTGGGGGCTGATTCCCCGATTATAGGGGCCTCAACAAAACGAATATTGAATAGGTTTGGGAGTATCCTGGAATCTAACGATATTTGGGGACCCTGAGGAAAGCATTTTCCGATCCTACATTCACCGCTGCGGTCCCCAAAATCCCCACGCCGTGGTTGTTATGATGGAAGGTTTGAGCCTCGAGCTGAATCAGGGACGTTCAGGGTGTCAGGGGCGTCAGGGGCAACCGCGCGGGGTCCGTGTTCCCAAACAGTATATACTTTGCGGCCTTAAAGTAGTCCCTATATGGGTAGTTACTTAGCTTTCATTATTTGGAGCTCGAGGTTGCATACACGTGCTTGAAATTCTGGGCACAGAACACCTGCAGACATCAGTTCTAGGTCGAGCTGAAGAAATCGAGCCGTATTGTGAGACTAGGCAGATGGAGCAGATCGATAGGTACCGAGAGGCAGTTACTGTAGCGCGCCTGGACGGAGCGAACAAGGTATCAGTTCACCTTGCCTCGCTATTCGCATCCGGAGCTGGTCAAGGCCTGGACCATGTCCGAGCTTGCTCCCAAAAACTTTTAGCTGGGATTTCTGGTTTTGATTGCAGACCTTTATGTGTATGCATATTGCCACATGAGCAACTGCTTATGGGCAAGCGGGTTCGGGATGTCAGAGGGTTGGCGAGATCACGAGCTTGTTTGTCAGACTGAAATTCCTTTGCCTGCTGCGGCCCCTTCTGTTGACACAGCTCCATGTCATGCGTGCCGACAGGAAATCGCATTCCACGTGGCGACGCTTGTGAGTCACTTTGCCGGTGTTTTCCTTTTCTGCGCCGTGGCCTACTGGACACCTCGCCGAACTTACTTGACATGTTGGAAGTAAACCCGGAGATTTTCCACAACTGGCGCAGTCATTTGTACGGCTACTGTGAGTCGAATTAATACATGTTGGTCGTGGCGTACTTGTAAACTAGTCGGGCGCGATGTCTAGCATCCTCGCTGCCATGTAGTATCTTCACAAGGGCCTACTCTCACACTTACAGATTCATAGCGTCGGAATGGAGCATCAATACTTCGCAGTTGCTTCTAGGCTGGGCGGCCTAGTCTGGTAGAATCATCTGGAAACTGAAAAGGGGTTGTAAGTCTCCGGTAAGTAGCCTCAGTCTCCTCAGGACTTATCATGGCTTATCCAGGCACAATTCTCAAAAAGCACGTGCCCGTTGAATCGGTGATCCTACCATTAAGGGTTCTATACCGCTTGAAGTTTAAACAAGGATTCCCGTTTTTTTCTTATACTTCCATGCATAAAAGTATGTCTTTAGCAGTCTTAGAGTTTACCTGGATCTCCAAGGACCATCCCGGACTTTTACATAGTAGTCTTTAGAGGGAGTCGCAGACTACTCGGCTCCAACCCACCTTAAACCCAGAGGATCTCCGACTCCGGCTAAGACCCAGTCGCATGCTGAGCCTTAAAATCAGGCAGGGAAGCCGAAAAAAAAACTCTGCAACATGAACCCCTGAGTCCTAACAGTCTGAGCTCTGAGGGCCTAAACTCACCCAACTCTCCAACCTAAGCTTCAAGACCCTTACTAGGCCCTAAACCCTGGACATTGCAGCTCCATACCCTTAAACCATACTGTCGGGGTACATGGACCCGACAATTTATGGACCACCGAGCTTTAAAATTACCTTCAATGGGACCTGTACAGCGCCAAGAGACCCGGAACTTGAAACCCTAAACCCTGACCCCAGGACCACCTACCCGGTGCGTGCGGCTGCATTGATGGTCCCCGCGCTTACCATTCTCGGGGCAGCCTCTCGGATGAAGAGCGTAAGGGTTGAGGGTTCAGGGTTTCGGGGGTTTAGGGTTTAGGGTTTAGGGGTTTAGGGATTTAGGGATTTAGGGTTTAGGGACATTCGTAAGATTTGCTAGGTGCTTGTTCGCCGGTTTTAGGTTGAAGGTATTGGTGCTTGGTGCCTCTAAGATTTTGGGCACAGGGCCGTTTCGTTTTCGGGAAAAAATACATTAGTCAGTCCAGGCTGGGCTGGGAAATTCAGGGCCTGAAGGGTCTGTGGTTTAGGCCCATAGGGTCGGGTTTTAGGGTTACGGCTCCTTGGGGGTTGCTGCCAGACCTGCTGATCCAATCTGAATACGGAAAAGATTCCGCAAAAGGGCACACTCAAGCCAGCCGCAGCATGAGGCAGGTCTTCTTTCACCTCGAATCAGACTGCAACCCAGCTGATAGACCTTAAATCAGACCGCATTTTAGACAACACCCTAAACTAAACCCTCAACCTAGAACCGAAAGCCCTAAACCCTAGAAGGGTTTAGGGTTTAGGGCTCAGGGTTCAGGGAAGCTTAAACCACTCTGAAAATCATACCCTGAACGCAATGCCCCGGCTAGGTGATCGACATCGGCACGCAGGGGAACGACTGGAGCGTCTGCTTGATCGCTGCATCCTTGGGTGCGATGAGCCTTGGTTCTGGCTTATGGGTCTTCTCGGACAGCGGTTTCGGATTTAGGGTTTAGGGCTTTAGGGCTTCTGGGTTTAGGGTTTGGGGGTTTAGGATTTAGGGTTTAGGGCCTCGGGCTTGGGGTTTAGGGGTTTGGGATTTTTTTAGGGGTTCCTAAAATATCAGAGGTTTCGGATTTGGGGTTTAGGGGTTCCTAAAATATCGGAGTAACATAAGCAGGGGTTCTTCGGATCAGGATCCTGTCCGCTTGGTGCTATCCATCGTATAGTCCCCATATACCCCTTATATAGCCAGGTAGTTTCCACATTAACCCCAATAACCTACAAGGGTCCCTATTAAACCCCTAAACCCTAAACCCTAAAACCTAAACCCTAAACCCTAAACCCTAAACCCTATTAAGGGTCCCTCCTAAAGCCCTTAGATATTTAGGGTTCGGGTCTCGTGGGGGCAGAGGCTTTGGGGAGTGCGTCTCAGGGTCTTCGGGGCGCCTTCGGGGCTTCTGATCTAAGGGTTTAGGGTTTAGGGTTAGGATGCATTTCTACAGCCACTACCTGGACCCTTAAGAACCTCTCTTTTTAGCGTTCCTTACTATGAGTATAGGTCCTTAAACAAGTAGGTTCTTTGGGGTCTAGGTAAACACTAAACCCGAAGCCCTTTTCAGACCAAGCTCACAGCATCAACCGCAGACCTTACAGCGTGGCTTCCTGGTTGCCGGTGCAAGGCTTACCAGGGGTTTAGGGGTTTAGGGTTGAGGGTTTAGGGGTTAGGGGTTTAGGGGCTTAGGGGTTCAGGGGTTTAGGGGTTTAGGGGTTTAGGGTTTAGGACTTGCCATGCCAGCATGGTAGCGGTGCTCTTGCAAATTTCATTGAGTTGATTGCCACTTGTTGGTTCTTTGCCCAGAACCCCTCATCCTTATTATTTTCAACCTTTAACAAGCACCGAAGCCCTTAAAGGCCTTGAACCGTGTGCCCTGCTCCTCCGACGGGAAAGCCGCAGAGACTGATGCCTTCACAAACCTAGAAACCCCAGCCCCGGTATTCAGGGTTTAGGGTTTAGGGTTTAGGGTTTAGGGCTTTATGGTAGGTTACTGCTGCATTGGATGCGTGGTTTATGGGTGCCGTGGGGATATTGTACTTTTGGTGGTCTATGCTTGGGGACATTTGAAGACCTTTATTCCCTAAGGCCGAAACCCTAACTAAACACCAAACCGGACACTTTGTATTCTCGGGAACTTTCTAGAAGCCGGACAACCGAAGCACATGCTGCGAGGATCTTGCCCTGCATTGGTTCCGAGCTAACCCAAGTTCTTCCCAGTGGAAGAACCCGAAACCCCGAGCGTGCTGATTTCGCCGGGGAAGCACCTTGTACACTAGACAAACGAACTAGGTACACACAGAACTGTGAATATAAGCATGAAATCGTTTACATGTAAATGTAAGCAATAAAGAGAGATATATGTATATAGAGATAGAGAGCAGTAGACTAGGCTTCTAGGCAGATTGCTCTCCTGAACCCAGGAACTTTATTCCGTCGCCGAACTCCAACCTATCTGGGAAGTGCCTTGCGCTATGTTTGTTATGGGGCTAATACAAGGTTTTGTGGGATGCCAAAAGCTTCAAGGGTTCATCTATCATTCGAGAGCAGATTCAGATAGTGCTGTTAGAATTGTCAAGGCGTTTTGCATAAGGTCTCTATGTAGGCTCTGCAGGGGCTGCATGCTTTCGGGTTCTTCAATGGTCCTGTAAATCCCGAAACCCGAAACCCAAAACCCTAAACCCTAAACCCTAAACCCTATGGTTTTGTAGCTTCATGATTTCCGGGCCCTCGAAGGGCTGCTGTTCGGCTTACAAAAGGACTCGAGCCCGACGGGCTGGTCTGGTGCAGGTGTTGAATATAGGAGGCCTACATAATTACCAATATTACTGTTCGGGTTTCTTGTTATAAACATACTATAAAAGAAAGGAGACCCAAACCTCATTGAACTTATCAAGGCTTGACATTAGGTGCTCAGGGTTTGGGGGTATAGGGTCTGAGAAGCAAGGTTGAGGCTTTCTTTCAGTCCTACCTTGTGAGATTCCATCTTCTTTTAACAGTATTATTATTGTTGCTAGTATTATTGCTAAGATGATGATTTTCTCATTAATTTTACTTATATTACTATCAAGATGATTATGTTTAGTCGCTTCAGTCCGGGAGATTCAGAGGCGCACTGCAGAAATTGCTTGCGCTGTGCCTGGAGTTTAGGGTTTAGGGGTTAAGGGTTTGGGGCGTAGTCTCTGGTGCTCGAAATTCACGGTCAGACCTTGCGATGAACATGGCAGAGAATTCCTGCTCAGCTCTCACGGAGTGCAGTCGTTAGTCACGCTTCAAGGGCTGTGGGAGAACGACCACAGTCGGCTTCGGGGTGTGGGCATCTGGCAGCATACCTCAGATTGAACTGAAGATCAGAAATTTCCCTGCAGAGCCTTGACTCCTTTAACTTGAAACCCCCTAATTTCGGGAGAAAAAGGCGTATCTGAGAGATTTGGGGACCCCAAAATCCTTCCCCTAACCCCTAAACCCTCACTGAGGCCCCAAACCCTGAACACGAATTCGAAACCCATGAATGCTGCAAAATCCTTCCCCTAAACCCTAGACCGTCACTAAGGCCCCAAGCCCTGAACACGAATTCGAAACCCATGAGCCCTAAACTCTAAACCCTAAAACCCTAAAGCCCTAAACCCTAAACCCTAGTGGTCCAGGCTCTTCATCATGACTACACTTACCACTGGCAACCTCCAAAAATGCGCAAAGATGTTCTTCAAGCAGCCGGGCGTCAGATCGAGTTGACCTTTGGCGCGTAACGTTTTTTGCGCCAAATGTCGTATGGGGTTTAGGTTGGGGTTTAGGCTTTGGGGCTTAGG